TTTCCTATAGTTGAGCATATAGCCTTTTGTTATATATAGATATCTCAAAATCCATTTGGCTGCTTTCTTATGATCCAAACTTGGGTTGCGTAGATATATGCCCAAAACCAGAAAGATAAATTTACTCCCACTTAATCTGTGATACACAAAATCATCTACTGTATTTCCCTCAAAACCAAAAGGGATAATAAATTGATGAAAAATGTAGTACCACACATAGGATATCCAAAGTTAAGGTTGTTGAGTTTGTGTATTCAGAATGGGAGATTAAATAACATTGTCGATCACTGCTTCATAATCTGCATACTATCGAAAGCAATAATAGGAATCAAGATTGATTCCTCCTTAAGGACAATGTTTTAACCTTGTTTCTCCCTCAAACTCAACATCCTCAAAGAATGTTGCTCTATCCAAAATGCAAAGTCAATATCCATGCAATTGAGAACTAACATAATGCCCTCATTCCATTCCTTAAGGTTAATCTTATTGAGTACATGGATCTTAAATGTGCTCAATGTTAGCAGATATAATACCATAATTCAAATTTGTTGTTTTGAGAACATAAACAAATCTATTTGTTATGCTCATTAATTCATAAACCGTAATCAATAAATTCAATTTATGACATCTTTACAAGATATCGACACAACGTTAATATCAAGTCTTTGGACAATAATATTAACTTGCAAGGGATATACTTGTTTAAGTGGTAAAAATATTGACAATATAACATGTTAATCAATAAGTTCCTCTTTAGATTGACTCATTAATCACATGGAACCCAAAATATTATCATATTTTACCACTACTTATGTGTTTATCCGACCAAATATTAACCTACATTTGGGTTGATTAATACCCGCATTAACAAACACATAAACCATAAAATTTAATAATAAACATTGACAATAAATCATGTCAATTAACAAGCCCTCTTTGGATTGACTTATTAATGACATGTAACCTTAAAAAAAATTATCGCATGTTTATTATTATATATGTGTTTATTCGGCAAAATATCAACCTACCTTTGGGTCGATTGATATCCGTATTAATAAACACATAAACCAAAATATTTAAGTTCTTTGTAAATTAATTTTCATAAAAGATATCACTTTGGTGACATATTATATCAACTAATTTACCATAAAAATAAATAATATGTCATAAGTATAGTTTGTTGATAACCAAAATTTAAAGTGTTATACATAAGATAGTGTCAAATTAACATGTTATAACTATAGTTTAATGACAACTTGAGATATTTATCAAACTATGTCATACTTTGGGCCGAACGCATTTTACATAAACAATATCGTATAATACTTAATGTATTTAAAACAAAATTGATTAAAATAATATACGTTATTTTGGTAACAATATTATATCAATCCATAAGCCAAAACGTTCAAGTATTCAATTGAAATATATTAGGTCGAAAACTGTTAATGTTGATTAAGGAGGAATCATTTGATGTAACAATTATATTGACAAAAAAGTATGAAACCTAAAAAGGCACCGTAAAATGCTTGAACATTAAAAAAAAATAAAAAATAAAGAAAAAATCTAAAGCCCAAAATTTGATCTCTCTTGGCTGATAAAATGTCAATATCTCATAATTTTTGTTTATTGGCAACCCAAACAATAATTTGGTGATTTAGACGATAGCTAAGGAAAAGTTTCAAAATCTTTGAAATCATTTATTAATTTGAATATAATTGAAATGAATGAGGGTCAAAAGTGAATTCTCATTAATAATATTAAATGAGTTTTCCTAAATTCAAAACACATATTAGCCGTATGGATAACGTCGGAAGCAGCAAGACGACTAGGAGAATTAAGATCAACTGTTATTTCTTTTCTACTTCACATTGAAAAACATGGTTGTTTCTTTATTCTATAACAACTTTGGAGTTTCAAGAAATCTCATCGCCTTACAGAGTAGTTACAGGTATGATAAGTTCATACCGATTCTAGACATTTAAAACCAAAAAAAAATCTCGATTTTAAAATAACCATATATTTTTTTTATAAATCTTATATCCAAACATAATTTTCTAATAACATATTCGAGTTAGCTTTGATACCAATTGTTGGTTATTTTCATAACCAAAATATATAACGCGGAAGCATAACTTTGGATCTTTAATCTCGAATCTGGTTAAAAGAAACTTAAACTAGAATGAAGGATTACATACCTATTTCATTTTTTGATCTTTCGATCTGAAGAATTGGGTTGAGTTTTTCAGTTGATCTCAAAAGCTCTCTTTAAAATCCCTCAGCAAACCCTAAACGAATTTTCATGTGTATTCTGTGTGTCTTGATCTGCTCCTCATCACATGTATATATATATATATATATATATATATATATATATATATATATATATATATATATATATATATATATATATATATGGAGATATACCCTAATGTGAGAGATGGAAGGGATCTTGAGGATCTTGAGTCAACCCGGGAACTCAACCCACAAAATAAGTAAATATTCTATAAATCGGTTCATCAACAATTTATATATTCTTACCATAATAACTGGATTTAATGATAACATTATATATATATAATATATATATATATATATATATATATATATATATATATATATTATGTGGTCCCATAATTATCTAACATGTAACAGATATTTAATACTTTAATTAATACTTGTATTAAAATCATGTTTATGAAAGAGATTATCCATTCACTTGACTTAGGTGGGTGACCGGTGATCTGATCAGAGTTTCGCCTAACACCTTAGATATTCCCTTGATGTAACCTAAGTATGATTAATACAGAGTTTCGCCTAACACCTTAGATATTCCCTTGACTTGACCTAAGTATGATTAATACAGAGTTTCGCCTAAAAAAATTTCATCATTGTTACACCATGAGTTTGTGTGTAACCATTTGCCACTGGTTTGGTTTTATGTGTACGTAACTTGCCATCTATGTTTGTCTTATTTTTGTAAGACTCATTTGCACCCAAATGTTTTATAGTTGGGTGATCTATCAACCAATTCTCATATTTGATCATGATACATGGATTGTATATTTTCTTCCAAAACCACATTCCATTTAGCAGACTCTAGTGCGGTCATGACTTTATGTAACTAGTAGGTTCTTTTATCATCTACAAATGATTCATTACCATTGGATATGAGCAAACCATATCTTTAGTTATGATGTGTTCTACCATACTACTTACGGATAATAGGTGATACTATGTTTACGTTCCTTAGTAACTCTTTTATGAGACTCGATAGGTTCTAGAACCTCTTGTTGAGTTCTAATGTTAACGGTTCTCTCTTGGTTGCTTTCAAAGAATAGGGAGAATTTATATTAAATTTACGTTTTATATTAAAATTGCATTTTACATTAAAAAAGTAAACGTGTTATATAAATATTTAGGGTACCGCAATATTTATCCAACGCAAAAGCAAAATCAAATTTACGTTTTACCTTCTTCCTTATTTTTTGCAGTAACCAAAGGGGTAAACGGAGGTGACGCACCTCCTGGACCCAACATAACGGCAACTGTGAGGTGGCCCTGACTTTTTTACGGTACGTCATCCACTTGAAGGCAATTAGGTGGATGGATGACCCGCTCCGGGATATTTAGTGGCTCTCCGTTTTCATTACGGCGTCGTTTATATGGCCCACGGCGTTTCAAGTTGCCGCCGGGGAATATTTACTCTGACAAACTCATTTTCCGGCCGTTGATGTCCGCTCAAAAACAAATCAATTTCTGCGCCTAAATTAGATTGGACTTCTAATGAATCATGACCGTTGGATTTGTCCGCATCGGCGGTGACTATACGAATGAATGATTTTTCAAGAAGTTACATTTACTACCCTTGATGTTTTATGGTTACCAAAAATGATCACTTTTTTGAACATCATTGCGTAAATTAATGACAAAAGTAGAGACAGGAACATACATGGGTAAATGCATTGACTTGACAATACTTTAGTTTTCTTTTGATATTTTAATAAGTATGATAGATAGTTTGAAATGATAATAATAGTACAATAGTTAAAAAGAAAAATTATATTGTATTACAAAATATCTTTTTGTTAAGATGTTATTATGTGTTGTTATTATGTTGAGTTAATTTGATCTAATCTATATATTCAAATTACAAAGTATTTAAAAAATTAGAAAAACAACTTCAAACTGTGTAACGACTCTCATATTTTACACAAGTTAGACTATCATTGATTATCATCATCGGTGAAATGTGGTAGCATCATAGGGTGTAATCAAGCCGAATTCAATCGAATATTGTCAAGCTTGAAACTCGATTCGACTAAAAAACTTGAGCTCGAAACTCGGCTTGAGATCAACTCGAGCCTTAATTTTCTAGCTCAAGCTCGATATAATAATCGACTTTCGAGCTTGGCTCGACTCGACTCAACTCGATTAGCTATTAAAAAGATATAATTACATTAAATTGTAATAGAAATACGATTAAGCTTGTGAGTTTTACTTGACTCTGTTCTGTAATATGAAAGCATGAATAAAACAATTGATGAAAATGTTAATATAACTATGCTCGATTAAGCCTGCGAGTTTCATGAGCCGCGTATTCCAATACTCGAGCTCGGCTCAATATTGTATTCCAATATTTTCCGAATTGGTCTGGAATATCTTACTAGTTGGCTCAACTCGGTTATACCTCTATTTATCATTCACCGAGTTATTATTACATATAGTTAAGGGAATAAAATGTAATGACCTAAAACAAAAGGGACTAAATTTTAAAATTTTACATCATCAAATAAACTCGTCAACTATGGCTCTCAACACCCGACCATGGTTAAATCTGACAATAAACAGAGACAAATCGACTAGAAGGAAGAAGACGTTCTCTACAAATATTATATAATTTTTTTATTGTTTATAAAAATTGTTGTTGGTGAATGTCTGTTCCTTTTTATATATAAATAATATAATCTTGAAGAATACATATATTCTGGAATCGCTGTGTTCTTTCCTTCTCACGTCCTCCATTTGTCACTTTTCTTGAATTTCTATAGACTCGTCTTTTTCATTCTTCGTTCCTTCTTTCCTTTTTGATGTTATTGTTGAATTCCATGTTGAATTGACTTTCAAATCAACGAAAGGGAACTGATATTAAGTTCTTTAATTGCGATAAGGAAATTTGACGACTATGGTGTTGAAATGAGATCGTGTTTCTCTTTTGGCGGGAATTATGTGGTGAGATTTACCTAATATTCTTCTTCTGGTTGATTGAGTAAAAGTGGCAAAAGAACTGAAAGCTATATCTGTCCGGAAATTGAATGCAGAGGTAGACATATACTTTAGGGTTTTGATTTTAAGGAGGTTGCGTGTGAAGATTTACGAAATCATATACATAGCTGTTGCTATTTGAAGTAAGGAAGATCTGTTTGGGGAAAAAGGGATTCGAATCGTGAATCGATGGAACTGGTGCAAGAGCGTAGCATCGACACCGATAAGCTCAGCTACGAGATTTTTTCGATCCTCGAAAGCAAGTTCTTATTCGGTTACGACGATTCGAAGCTTTGGAAACCTAAGCAAGTTTCTCCGGAAATATCTGTCACGCCGACGCCAATGGCGGTGGCTGATGACGGTCCTGTTCAATCTATGATGAACCAGAGAGGCAAAATCTGTGTGCTCTCGATTGATGGCGGAGGAATGCGGAGTATTCTAGCAGGTAAAGCACTAGCTCATCTAGAGAACGCGTTGAAAACGAAATCCGGCAATCCGAACGCGAGAATCGCGGACTATATCGATGTCGCCGCTGGTACAGGTGTCGGAGGTGTGTTCACGGCGATGCTATTCGGAAGCAAAAACCAGAGTGTTCCGATTTTCACAGCGGAGGACACGTGGAGGTTTCTGGCGGAGCAAGGGAAATGGTTGTATCATCAGAAATCGAGTTCCACCGGCGGCGCCGTTGGAGGTTTATTGAAAAGGATTTTCCGCGGCGGAGGCGAAGGCGGTGACGGAGGGATAAGCCATGCCACGGCAGCATTTGAAAATGCAATGAAGGAAGCATTCGTCGTCAACGGGCAGAGTTTGACCTTAAAAGACACGTTGAAGCCGGTTTTAATTCCCTGTTACGACCTCTCCAGCTCAGCTCCATTTCTCTTCTCCCGAGCTGACGCCATGGAAACAGACAGCTTCGACTTCCGGCTATGGGAGGTCTGCCGCGCCACGTCAGCTGAACCGGACTTATTCCAACCTGTCCCAATGAACTCCGTCGATGGAAAAACTCGATGTATTGCAGTTGACGGCGGTTTAGCCATGAGCAACCCCACGGCGGCGGCGATCACCCACGTGCTGCACAATAAGCAGGAATTTCCATTCGTGCGCGGGGTGGAGGACCTTTTGGTACTTTCACTGGGCACCGGTCAACTTCATGAAGGGAATTATGATTACAATCAAGTCAAAGGGTGGAAGGCTAAAGATTGGGCTCGACCCATGGCTCGAATTTCCGGTGATAGCTCCGCCGACATGGTGGACCATGCCGTCGCCATGGCCTTCGGTCAGAGCCGGTGTAGCAACTACGTCCGTATCCAGGTATTTCACTTTTGAGTTTGTCATGTTATTTATTTATTTATTTATTTATTGAAAACATAAACTTATATAAAGTAAAAGATGTTAGCATATAATGATTTTACACTTTCTTTAACAAAATGACTTATTATTATTAATCACGTTTCAGAATTTTCTTGATCTATTTTTTCGTTGTATTTATCTAAATAGTAATTATATTAATTAAGAAAAGTATAGTCGTAACAGTCTACTACACGTGCAACAAAAATCTTTTTTACAAGGGCAATACAGGTTGATGGCAGAAAACCAGATGTTGGTAGTCAATCGCTATATATAAATACCAATTTGTATGGTACGAAAATAATGACGTATTTAGACTTTGATAACATTTTCGGTGTAATTTTTTTTATATTGGTTGAATTTGATGTCAATGTCAATATGTCATTAAAATCTTGGAAAGTGGAATACATTTGATGAAAAAGATGGTCTTTTTAACTCATTTCCATATGTAAATGAGATTTGGCAAGCGATTAAAATGGTTTTCTTTACTTTGGAATGGGAATATACGTATATACCCATATGGGTATGGAAAATGATATTGATTTCTTTTTAGCTAAAATCGTTTTTTACTAAAATATAATTTCTTTTTATTTTCTATTGTTACCTACTTACCTATATAAATAAGTCTTTTTGTTTCAGACTTTCAGTATATTTTTTTATTAAATTTTTTATTTGGTAGGCAAACGGGTCAACCATGGGTCCTCACGGGGCCAATATTGATGCGGATCCTAGTCCCAACAATGTTAACGTACTTATTGGAATAGCTGATGAGATGCTGAAACAGAAAAATATGGAATCAGTATTGTTTGGGGGTAAGAGGATGGGAGAGCAGACCAATTTTGAGAAACTTGATTGGTTTGCCGAAGAAGTCGTGTTAGAGCATCAGAGAAGGAGTTGCCGTGTTGCACCTAATGTTGCATTTAAGCAACCTACTCTCAAACAAACCTAATCGCTTCATATGTACAAAAGTATGTGAGGGCTATGGACTGAATATTTGGGAAACATCGGGGACTGGTTTTGGAAATAATTGTTTGCTATTGCTTCATTGCTTGTATATTTGAAATTTTCTAAACGTCAAAATGAAGTTTTTTTTTAATATAAAAACTGAATAACACCAAAACTCTTAAACAATGACACCATATTATATAATATATATATATATATATATATATATATAATATATATATATATATATATATATAGATATAAAAATGATTATACACAATGTGAATAATTATAAAAGTTCACACAATTAGTATCTCATTTTTACGACAATACTACATGCACTCAAGACATGTCATTTTCTAGTTACATATGTTTAGTTGTGTAAATTTTCCGTTTTCACATACACAGTTGTATTTTTATCACAAAACGTTTTCAAAATAAGATACAATACCAACATAGATTTTATTGATTAAATTATATTATAATTTACAATAGAAGGATTGATGGATGTAGGGTTGTCAAAACTGTAGCACGGAAAACCAACAAACATGCTACCAACCGAACCAAGAAAATTGGTAGCCAATGTATTTGGTAGCCAACATGTTTGGTTGATATTATCCTACCAATTAAAGAATCTTGGTACGGTAACAACGATGAGACTATGTATATGGAAGGTGGGTCCAATGACCCACCTAATTTTTCTAATATATCTAAAATTTCTATAGAAAAATATTCGTGACCTATCTTAGAAAAATTTTGTACTTACCTTACCAATAAAATCTTTGAATTTGTATAGAAATTTTTCTATAAAAAAATTAGTGAACCATATGGTTTTTATTTTAGACTTGTCATTGTACGGTAATAATACAAATGTTTGAATACTATGGTAATACCGTACCAACCAAATATCTATATATATAATATATTATATAATATATATATATAATATATATATAATATTTATAGATATATATATATATAATATAAACAAACTTGTATATTTTAATTGTTAATTGTGTTTAGTGTTTACAGTTTTAAGATCGTTATATAAGTTATTTGGTCACATCAGTCAATAACTATTACCACGTTAAAACACAAAATTAAAACGTTACTTTAGCGTTACTTCAACAGAATTCTTTTGTAAATTAAAAGAGAATCCTTGCACACACAAAATTCGGCTAGCCCTCTTGCAACTCACTTAGGTGCCGATTTTGGTAGCTATGAGGCTTCTTATATAGTGTGACACAACTAGGGTTACACCATGTAAGCCCTAATGTCCATGACTTTCCACATTCCTTAGGCTCCATGGGTTTTTAACCTCCATGGAGTATCCATGAGTCACCTCATGGGTTTAGCCCAACATAAAGAACTATGGATCATAAGCCCACTTTATAAGAATGAATGATTTACACAATCAATCCTCATATATTTAATTAGTCTCCTTTTGATCACAAAATTAATTCCAAATTAATTCTTGATCAATACTAATTAAATAATATGATTTCATATTAATATATTAGAACTTATAATATATTAATAAACCATAAATAACCTCCTTCTCAATTATTCATCCTTCAGATTGTTCCGGTGCCATGCAACCCAAATGGACCATGTTACTCTCGGGTCAAGTACATACCAATTATAGTTATGGACTTAGACATTAATCCAACAGTCTCCCACTTGGATAAGTCTAATAACTATTTTTGCAAGTACGACTCCACAACCCGACTAGCAATCGTAGCTCTTAAAAGCCGTTGTCGAACTCTGACCTAGTCAATGACGCGTCCATTAGATAAGGGATCATATATTCCTCCATTCTAGATATCATATGGACTGATACATGGATTATAATCATTCTCTCTGTCCATCTGTTGTTTCCCGATTTCCGATTTATGACGACCGATTAATTGAACAAATCAAATCAGTCCAGGCTTAGCCAAACACTTAGGGGTGTCATCACTAAATCATCGAGGGGCCCACAGATATCGCTTTTATCCACGTGGGGTAAAAGGAACGGATAAACTTCGACTCCGATGCTTGCTTGTACTTACTCATCAAATCACACACAACAATATTTTTTATGACACCAAGTTACTGGTGCGTTTACATACGTCAGTGTGCAACCGACTTGCAACTACAACTCACATGTCTCCGTTTCAAGAATATAAGATATTATCGTCTCATAATCACTCGTGATAAATTCCATGAAGTGATTCAGATGAGCGTGGGTTGAATCCAATACTCGAATCTTATTCCAGGAGTACTCATGAACATTGTAGCAAACCTGTGCTATGACTAAAAACACCTCTACAGACCCATTCATGACAGTCTTGCCTCAATACCTACTTCCAAAGTATGATCGACTGTGGATGGTTTGAATAACCTAGTTATTCGGGAAGTTAAAACATGCAAAGTGAAACACAAGAATAAAACTAATCCTATATGGCCCCAAAACTTTTGAGTGTCATACTGATTATGCATTATTCATTGTATAATGTTTCGTTTTATCAACTTAATATTTGAATTAAAACAATAGCTATGCCATGCTCCAAGTACGCACATTATGTTTGTCTATGGTCCTGACTTTGTGAAATAGATCAATTGAAAAACATTTCAATGATGCTCATTTCACAATTCCAAATCTTTATTGCAAGTGTAAGAATTCCAAATTCTTGTCACTGCTAAACTATCATGTAATGCTGCCTTTGTAATGTCATGGTACCAAAAGTCACAGAGACTTAACCAACGATATTACAAAATTTTCCACTGGAGATTGTTGACAAAGCAATACCAAGGAAGTGAAGTCTCAAATTCAAAGTACATTCCTTTGAACATCCTTCTTGCAATAATTTTTCCTAATCTTACACAGATTTAAAGAATAACTTCCACAAATGGAAACATTTCCATATTCCCATTTTGACTATCACTTCTGAACAAGAGTTACCTCTTCTCATAGTATGTCAATATGGTCCTTTCCAAAATTTTAAATATACTTCCAATTGTCCATGAGCAACCAATCTTTGGTAAACCTCAGATTGTCCTCGACAATTGCTTAACCATTTTAGTCATATCCGGTTCTATTCCTTTTTCCCTCTTAATGCCCTAGGCATTTGTAAAAATTAGAACACGAGAATATTATAGCATATGCAATCGATCCTATACCCAAAGCATATGGGATACGATTCATAATGTCTAACATAAAGACATGATACTTGATCAGTCTTTTGCTACAATATTTCTATTTGTCATGTTCTCAAAATTTTGATTATGAAGAGGGATGCCGTAATCATAATCAAATTTTGAGAACGCAATTAACATTTCCATATATAGAATTTCCTTATGTTGAACCATTCCAACATAACATTCATATATATTTGACTAAATTTGATTAAAAAACTCAATCTAAGCTTTTAGATTTGAAATGAAGTATAAATTCCTCTCCCTTAATTATAGCAAAACAACTTTTCAAACCCTGCAACTTCGCGATTTGAAACTTTTGTTTTCTATAATTAACATTGCTAACTTGCAACACTTTCCATAATAATTATGCTCCCACTAACATCATAATTATTATCTTACTTTCATAACACTTATGCTCCCACTAGCTTTGACATGTATTCAGAAATCAGCTGGACTTCTAGAAATCAATACTTATTGACTTTCATTACCAAAGTTCAGATTTATGATACTAGATGCTTCGATAAGACTTTATCTAGGTTTCTGAAACTCATACACCTTTCCTTAGATAGCCCACATGTGTGTATTAACAATTTTAGAATTTACAGCAATAAGTCTCAAACGTTTAGACCTTTGCCATTTATCACAATTCGAACTATGAAGAGGGATGCCGTAATCATAACCGAATTTGAGAATGCAAATATCATAATTGCTAACTATTAAAATCTACTTAGTGAAAGCGTTTCATCATAATCATTTTCATGAATTGGAGATAAACCTTATGACACTCAGATTTTATGGTGTATGTGTTCCTATCCATGTGAATTTGTCAAACCATATTCATAAGACAAGGTTAGTGACAAATCCAAACTCATAAGGACTGAACTTGTTCAATCTTAATTTCTTGCCACCTGGAAGCACAAGGGCCTACCATTGCTTCCAGGGTTGTTATGCAAACAACTGATAACTCATAGAACTCACATGCATAATCAACTTTAACTGGAGTGGACACAGAAATAAGAATATGTCAACACGATAGGTTACATTGTGCTAGTGTTTAACAATAGGTTTACTCTTGATTAGTTCTTGAAACTTTCAAGATCTTGAAGACTCTCACTGACCTCTTGACATATAAGACTCTCTTGTCAAGAACCATTCCTTGACAAAAAAATATTCAAGAGTTAGTGCGGATTCTCATCAAGAATGACACTTCACACAATTGGCCTTAGTTGGTCTTTGTTTTATCCAAAAGATTACAACTTACCAATTTCAAATGTACAAGAGTAAGAAACATGTTACTCTACATTTGGTGAGTGTTATAAACCTTTCTTAAGATTATGTCACTCAAGGCACAATCTTGGAGTATGACTCTAAGACTTGTTTTGGAACGAAGTATGACTCATCTTCTTGATTTAACCATTTCAACAATTCACGATTCTTCTTCTTAGCCATACGAATGCACTAAGATATTCTTAGAGGATCAATTGTGACATGGTTTTGATAATAATTAAGATGATCATAAAACATGATACTCAAGTACTCTCTCATCCTTTCAGATTAGAGAAACTTTTATCTTTTCTGCCTAATTTGATTCTTCTTATTCGTCCTGCCATACATTGAAACTTTTCTAATGTTCAAAATTATAATTAATCTTGTAAGTTTAACCATGTTTACTAAACTTTAGTAAATCATGACGAATAGTCTTATCGTTCTTTGTGGTGGACCTGACCAGTGCACACCCAGTGTACCTGATCCCCCCAGTCCTTCACTTGACTCACATATACATGTGAACAAAGAATTAGTCTTAATTTCCCAAAGATGAAGGTTCTCATTCATCACACACTACAAGTTTCATGATTCCAAGTTTCTATCCAACTGAAACTTGGTGATGAGAATCTTTTCTTATTTGGCAAATCTCGACACTACCACAAACGAAGGAATCAAATTCATATTCC